ATTTGATTGGCTGGTGCTAATTAGATTATACTATTGTCAGTTGTTGATGTATTTTATAACGAACTACAATTATATCCAGCCCACTAAACGGCTGAATTTAAATTAAAACTGAAGTAAAATTAGAAAATAATCGCAAATTAGCGACATATATTGCAAGTGTAACTTATATTAAATCGCCATCAGATTGCACTATCGACCAACTGACGTATAGTTATAAAGTATACTTAATATATATATACTTTATAATTATATGTCAGTTTGTTGATAAATACGGTAAGCGCCATGTAAAGCTCATTGTAGTAACTGAAACCTCTGCGGAGGAGAGAGCAATTGGGTGGCGATTTAATATAAGCTACATTTGCAATATATTTCGCTAATTTGTGATTATTTTTGTTATTTTTATAAGTTCATTGCAGTTTTAATTTAAATTCAGCCGTTTAGTGGGCTGCCTATGCTATAATTAGATTGTTGTTGTCGTTGTGTGAAATTTATTTCAATTTCTCCTGCGACATTTTGATTGGATACTAAATATAAACTTTGCTGTGGGTGGAAAGCGATCAGGTTAAGTTTTGTGTCAGGCTCTATTTGTAAAATAGAGCCTGATACTCAGGTTATGAAAAACAGCGGGATCTGCAAACTGAGTTTGCAACTTCAGGAAACGAGCAACGCTAATCGCATTATTAATTACCGCTATAAGATGTCATCAATCCAGGTTCAGTTGCTTAAACGCAGTGTGAAACCAAGCAAGTAATAAGTTAATGTCGTAAAAGACGAGGACCAGGTTTGTTTGGTTGAATATTATTGTGTATAAAACTATTACAAAGCGTTGTGTTTTCATAATACGAGTTTCCATCAAAAACTACATAAAAGTGCGCCAAAACAACTGTCGTGTGACCGAGGCACAGCTAACCCAAAACTAGCCTAGAAATATGAATGTTAATGATCTACTTTAAAGATAAAGATAGGTTTAAAGTTAGTAATCTAATCTAGCATTATTCAACATCCTCCGGGGCCGAGGAAAGTTCTTCGACCCATTTTGAAATTTTGTTTCTTGCTCTTAGAGTCGCCGCTCTCTTTAGTCGTGATGAATTGTTTTCAGCAATTGTTCGCGTGACGGTTTCTTCCGCGCCATTCGATTGTTTCTGTTGTTCTTTGCTAATTTCTGCGGAGATCTCTAACGGGTATAATTTGGTGATTGGTCTGTTCGTGCGACCATTTTTTGTGCGGATGTTTGCGGCTCGCACTAATCCATCGTTTCCTCGAATAAGTTCTTCTATGATTGCTAATTTCCATGTGTTTCTGGGTTTATCATCGTGGACCATAACTAGTTCATCTTCCTTTATCGTTTGTTCGTTGTTCCCACTGCTTCTTTGAAATTCGCGAAGCGATGTCAAATATTCGTGTCGCCAACGAGACCCAAATCTTTGTAAAACTGCCGCTTGTAGGTTGTTTCTTCTTCTTAAGGCCGAATCATCTCCGTAGTTGGGGTCCTCTAATTCATCTCCGTTATCTGGGTAAGGTAAGGAAGTAATTCTTCTTCCGTATAGGAGGTGGGAAGGTGTGAGTGGCTCATCGTCTTTTGGACGTCGCTGGAAAGATAGGTTAGAGATCGATCGTTAAGAATTGCTTCTATTTCAACTACGATTGTTTGTAGTTCGGAGACGGTTACGAAGGATCTTCCGAGTATTTTCTTGAGGGATTTCTTGGTAAGTCCAATAAGTCGCTCCCAGACACCACCAAACCAAGGGACTCTTTTGGGTATAAACTGCCAAATGACACCTCGACTGGTAAATGTTTCCTTTAGGCTCGGTGACTGGAATAGTTCCTTGAGTTCATCTGCACTAGCTGTGAATGTTGAGGCGTTATCCGATACCATACGATTCGGTAAAGATTTGCGACTCGCAAACCGGCGGAAAGCTTGGAGAAAACTTCTTTCTGTCAAATCTGAGACAACTTCTAAGTGGAGGGCTCTTGTCGTTGCACAGGTAAATAGGCAAATATAGTTTTTGATTTCACCGTTATTTGATCTTACGTACAAGGGGCCCGTGTAGTCGACTCCGGTGACAGAAAAGGGAACCGTCTGCTGCATCCTAATCTTTGGTAGCGGGGCTGAATCGGGGGCTTCATACGGTATTCCATCAACCTTTTTGCAGGTTACACACTTTCGTAGTAATTTCTTAACGTACTGACGCATTGATACAATCAAGCTTTGTGAATTCAGGATCCATCGACATCGTGACTCGCGTTTCTCTGCAACGGTAGGAGATCCTTTGTCCCTTTGTTGTTTCATGATAATTTTCACAAATCTCAGAACGTAGACGGTAACGCTGAGCAGCTTGTTGAGTGTGCTATATCTGGAAATATCGATGACTTGATGTATACCTGGAACAGTCGTTAATGGTGGTGGTTCTTCGGGTACCGGTACCACTTCTTCGTTGACAGGGTCGATGTCGTTAATGTGGAGAACCTTTGCCGCGTTCCAAGATGGCCAACGTGATTTACAAAGTAGCCATTCTGGGCCATCTTTCCAGAGGTTTGAAGATTTAAGTTGTTTTGAGTTGATGCCACGAGTAAGTAAATCAGCAGGATTGGATTTAGTGGGGCAATAGTTCCAGTGTGTTGCGGGAACGAGTTGTTTAATTTCTTGGACACGATTCGCAACAAACTGTTTCAGTGTTTTGTCGCTGTTTAACCAATGTAGAACGATTTCGCTGTCTGACCACATATAGATTTCTAAATTGGAATACCTTTGTTCCAAGGCTTGCTTGACAAAACTTGCTAAACGAGCTGCAGTTAATGCGGCCATAAGTTCCAACTGTGGTAGAGTTAGCTGTTTAAGGGGTGCCACTCGTGACTTCGAAATTACTAGCGATGTCTGATTTCCATTGCACAGGTAAGCGACTGCGCCATATGCTTTGATACTTGCATCAGCAAATACGTGTAATTGAGTGTTCTCTGAATTCGAGTTCTGGTATTGGAAGTAAGTTCTTGGCAATGTAATTTGAGTAGCTTTTTCAATGTCTTTGGCGATAGCATTCCAAGCTGTACTAAGTTCGACTGACAGTGGTTCATCCCATTCTAGGTGTTGCTTCCATAACTCTTGCATGAATATTTTTGCCTTGATGGTGACTGGGGAAATCAGCCCGAGAGGGTCATAGGTTTTGGAAGCCTGACGTAATACTTCACGTTTGGTATAGGTACTTTCTGGAGGGGGCTCGTTAGTTTTGGACTTAAACTCAGGGTGTAAGTTGAGGGAGTCCATTTCAGGCCAAGGAGGTTAACGACTTCATTCTTGTCTGCTACGTTGTCACTGGTTGCCTGTGTGTGCAGAATCTTGCTGTTTGAAGCCCACGAGCGTAGATTAAAGTTACCTTCGGTCATTATGGATCTTGCTTCATTGTAGTATTGAAGGGTTTCTTCTTCAGTGTCACGGCCAGAAATAAAGTTATCAACATACAAATCATTCTTGATATCTTTAGCTATTTGTGAGTTGTGGTCGTTCAAGTGTGAATGTAGTGTTGCGTTGAGCATAAATGGAGAACTTGTGGAACCAAACAATACGACTTTAAATCGGTAGATCTGGAATGCACTTTCTGGGTCGGTTGGATTAGATAACCAGAGAAATCTTGTGAAGTCTCTGTCACTTTCGTTTAGGCCAACATGTAGGAATGCTTTCTCGATATCTGTTGAGAATCCATAAGGATATGTGCAAAATCGTAGAAGAATGCCACAAAGGTCCGACCTCAAGACAATCATTTAGTGATGGCAAATCGGGATGTTGACGGCAACTGCAATCAAAGACAATCCGGATAGGGGTCGTAGACGATTCTTTCTTTACCGGATGGTGAGGAATATAATGAGTTTTGTCTGAGTGCTGAGTTGTTTGAACTTTCGCTATAAATCCACGACTTTCATACTCGGTGATGATATTACTATATGTCTGGAGTAGTTCCGGTGTTTGTTTGAGGCGACGTGCCATCGATCTTGTTCTCTTTTCGCATACCGTGTAGTTAGATTGGAAAGGTGGGTGTTCTGGTTTCCAAGGAAATCCTGCTATGTAACTGCCATTCGTGTCACGGCTGATGAATGATTGTTGATATTGTTCGAGAAACTGTTTATGAGGATCATTTTTAGTTGGTGGTGTTATTCCCAATGACTCTAGAGACCAAAATCGTTGTAGGTCGTATTCATCTGAGGATATCTGGAGAAAATTTGCAATCGAATTGAATGTACTGGTTGGTCAGTTTTTAGCGGACCTGACAGTAGATAACCAACTTTGGATTTCATGGCAGTAGGCCCATTTCCACGGATGACTTGGTCTTCGATGATGTCCCAGTATTGGTCGGCTCCAACGAGGAGGGAAATTTCAAAATTCTCATCATTTGTTACAGGCTGTGCAAGTTGAAGGTTCTTCAAATGTGGGATGTTGTTGATATGGTGATGTGAACGAAGTTGAAGTGGTGTTGCTATTGTTAAAGAACTTCAAGATTAAGGCGCGATGTGGGCGCAGCGACCGCGAAACGTGAATACGCAATAATTGACATAAATTGCGCGTAAGCATGATGTAGATACAGCACGTTTCAACGTTAAAATGGGATGAAAATATGACACACCTTAGACATGACTAAGGGAAGGAACTTTATGTGGTTAAAAATGACGTATGAACAGAAAAATGGTTTCCTAGTTTTAGAGTATAAACATGAGTGTAAAAATATCATATTATTGTTAGATTGGTTGATTGGAAAGTGTGAGTGTTAGAGTGTATTAGTATGAAATGTATGTAGAATGGTTAGTTGATTGATTGTAAAAGATTGTTTAAATAAAGGAAAATTGGAAAAAAGGAAATACAGTCCCAGTGGTTTGTTGACTGAACCAGCGAGCGGAAATTTCTTATAGTTTAACCAAACTTGTGCGAAGAAATTACAACAACTGGTCCAGTCGAGCCGGATAGATTGATTGAGAATACGGAGTGAATTAAGCGATTTGGTGAATTGAGAACTATGTCGGAATTAGCTACGAAAAAGAAGATGAGAGGTGGGCATCGAGGCCACGCGGCGAAGTTAATAAGCGGCGCTCGTGAGTTAGTGGAGACCTATGACGGACAACGGAAAAGTGCGGTAGAGCAGGCGAAAGTTGGTCTGGAAGAAAAATTAGAAACATTGAGAGTATTAGATACGGCGATACAAGACATGATTTGCGCGAGTGAAGCTACAGACGAAGCGTTTCTGGAAGAGATAGAAAGCTCTGCGAAAGTACGGGCAGAGATGCAAGAAGCGATCATATTGATCAACGGGGCCCTCACGACGACAGGAGAACAAACCTTGGCTACGGAGCCAAGCAGCAGTAGCTCGAATGCGATGGCGGATCTAGAGAACGGCGGATCGTCGAGCCACGCAAGACTACCTAAGCTGGAAGTGAGAAAATTCGACGGAAAGATCCATGAATGGCAAGAGTTTTGGAATAGCTTCAAAAGTGCTATCCATAACAATACGCGGTTATCTGACGTAGATAAGTTTTCATACCTACGTGGGTTGATTGTTTTTACCGGCGAAAGCTACGATTGCGGGATTTTCCCTCACGGCGGAGAATTACGCCGCGGCTGCAGAGCTGTTGGAACGGAGATTTGGCAAGAAAGTTGCTATAGAACGGGCTCATGTGAGCCAATTGTTGAAAGTGCCACCAGTGTACGGCGAAAAGGATGTGCGTGGACTCAGAATATTGCACGACACGGTGGAGACCCATTATCGTGGATTGTGCGCGTTAAAGGTCGACGAAAATACATACTCTGGTATTGTGGTACCAACGTTATTGGAGAAGATTCCAGATTCGGTGAGACTTACTATCACTAGAGGGGAAGAATACCTTAAATGGAGTATAAAAGAATTATTGCAAGCACTGTTAACCGAGGTGGAATTACGGGAAGACTATAGACTGACGCCACAAGTGAAACCTCCTGCTGGAAATGGAAGGAGAATGTACAACGCGAGTGCACTACAAGTGAACCGGGATTCTGGTCGGGATAAAGATCGATGTGCGTTCTGTATGGGGAAGCATCGCCATGAAGATTGTGCCAGAGTGAAAGATATGAGAGAACGAAGGAACTTGATACGTAAGTTTGCTCGATGCTATAAATGTTTAGAGAAAGGACATTGTGCACGTGACTGTAAAGTAGTTGTTCAATGTAAAAACTGTAAGGGGGGTCACCATAGTGCTTTATGCGAAACTGAAGTAAGCAGTGCATCAGGGGAGGAGGGTGCGCAAGTAGGGGATGAGGCGAGCACCCATATAGTTAATGTACCTGCCAGCATGTTAGTTGGGGGCAGCAGTAGGATTGCGCTCCAAACAGCCCAAGCGCTAATTAAGGGTAGTAATAGTAGTAATAGAGTAAGAGTAATGTTTGACTCTGGGAGTCATAAATCGTTCGTAACTGCGGATGTAGCACGCGCGCATAATTTAAAATTGCTTAGGAAGGAGTGGCTTAGCATAAGTACGTTTGGTCGGAAAACCAC